CTTTTTAAGTGGGAGAACTTCCACAATTGGTGGCTGACTAAATACTTTTTTCCCCCACTGTACCGTGACGAGATCATGAGGCCCATTGTCGTGCCATTGATCCGCCGCCATCACCTCATGTTTCAGCATGATAATGCACGGCCCCATGTCGCAAGGATCCTTACACAATTCATGGAAGCTGAAATGTCCCAGTTCTTCTATGGCCTGCATACTCACTAGACATGTCACCCATTGAGCATGTTTGGGATGCTCTGGATCAATGAGTACAACAGCGTGTTCCAGTTACCTCCAATATCCAGTAACTTCGCACAGCCCAAATTGAAGAGGAGTGGGACAACATTCCACAGGCCACAATCAACAGCCGCTGCATGAGGCAATTGGTGGTCCCACCATATACTGAATGGTTTTCTGATCCACGCCCCTACCTTTTTTTTAAAGGTATCTGTGAACAACAGATGCATATCTGTATTCCCAGTCATGTGAAATCCATAGATTGTGGACTAATGAATTTATTTCAATTGACTGATTTCCTTATATGAACTGTAACTCAATAAAATATTAGAAATTGTTGCATGTTGTGTTTATATTTTTGTTCAGTGTATTTGATTGTATTTATTGTATTTTCTTTTTTACAATTATTATTTGTTATTTTAATTATTCTTGTTTTTCTTGTGTGTGTGTGAAAAGTTTGTGATGCTAAATGTTATTTTTTTTATCTATCTGCCTAGGGACTATAGATTAAAACTAGCCAGCTGGCTAATTCCAGCACATATACAGAAATTATAATTAATAATATAGGCCTACATTGTCCCTGTGAAATAAATGAATGAATAGTTTTATTTCAAATATTTAATCTAAATTATTTGTTGAATGTCATATTGCTAGCCTAATGTGAATGGGACCTTCAGTCCCTAGATGCCCCTGTTTGTACGGAGTTGAGATCATTTCAGCACCTCTATCGCCTGAACAGCGCCTTTGACACTCCTCTCGACCGCACGCCACACCAACGCCCTCACCAACAGCTGCAGATGGGTGAACGGCTTTCTGCAGTCACTATTCGATGCGCAGCGGCAGAACTGATGGAATAAGGAGCTGAAGCTTTTGTGGCTATACAAGATATAGACCTAGGCATATCACTTGAATGAAATATATTCATGCAGGCTGTTGACAGAGATAATGTTGTGCGTTAGAGTATGTGGTCCCGAGGTCTCCAGAGATGTGTTTCAACTTGGGGTCGTGTTTGTGCAAGGATAAACTGGGAATAAAGGTTTGCAGACACAGTGTCAGCAGAATCCAAACCAAAAGAGATGGTAAATTGTGTGTCGACCCATAAATGAACTCATAGTGATAGATAGTCTATACTGAAATGTTACAGTATAGGTAGGCATATGTTATATTTGCAGGGGTACTCAACTCTTACCCTACGAGATCCGGAGCCTGCTGGTTTTCTATTATACCTGACAATTAATTGCACACACCTGGTGTCCCAGGTCTAAATCAGTCCCTGATTAGAGGGGAACAATAAAGAAATGCACTGGAACTGGCTTCGAGGTCCAGAATTGAGTTTGAGGGTTATATAGGCTACTGGACTGAACTGATCAACAATGATAATTCAATGTGTTTTTAGTAGTAGGTTTACTCATTAGGCTCATTGAGGATTCAATAGGCTATGTCACTCTTACATATATAAATATAGCCTATCTTCTATGAATGGGATCAAAACAAAAATGCTGCTGAGTTTACAATGCTCTCTCTGCATTATGGATTTACCAACACCACGTTTGAAGTCGCTGGTTGTTGACAAGTGTGGCAAAGAGACATGGATGAAGCTTAGGTAACAATGTCATTAATTAACAGTGGACTCATTAACATCATATTAGACTATATGGATGTCTCTTGATAATTGAATAATTGCAATAATATGTTGCGTAATTCCAGACGGTGGCGGTAAAGGCTAGCGTTGAGCTCGGCCCCTCTCTCAGCGTGGAATTATAGACTAGCTAATTGATGGATTCATTCACTGCTTTCTGTTTAATGGTCATCAAAGGGATGTGTAACCTGCTGAAATTAGTTCATCATCATCATACCTGCCTAAATGACTACCGTCCAGTAGCACTCACGTCTATAGCCATGAAGTGCTTTGAAAGGCTGGTCATGGCTCACATCAACACCATCATCCCGGAAACCCTAGATCCACTCCAATACCGCCCCAACAGATCCACAGATGACGCAATCTCAATTGCACTACACACGGCCCTTTCCCACCTGGACAAAAGGAACACCTATGTGTGAATGCTGTTCATTGACTACAGCTCAGCGTTCAACACCATAGTGCCCACAAAGCTCATCACTAAGCTAAGGACCCTGGGACTAAACACCTCCCTCTGCAACTGGATCCTGGACTTCCTGACGGGCCACCCCCAGGTGGTAAGGGTAGGCAACAATACATCTGCCATGCTGATCCTCAACACGGGGGCCCCTCAGGGGTGCGGGCTTAGTCCCCTCCTGTACCCCCTGTTCACCCACGACTGCGTGGCAAAGCACGACTTCAACACCATAAATAAGTTTGCTGACGACACAACGGTTGTAGGCCTGATCACCGACAACGATGAGACAGCCTATAGGAAGGAGGTCAGAGACCTGGCAGTGTGGTGCCAGGACAACAACCTCTCCCTCAAAGTGAGCAAGACATATACACTACTGGTCAAAAGTTTTAGAACACCTACTCATTCAAGGCTTTTTCTTCATTTTTACTATTTCTACATTGTAGAATAATAGTGAAGACATCAAAACTATGAAATAACACATATAGAATCATGTAGTAACCAAAACAGTGTTAATTGGTTACTACATGATTCTATATGTGTTATTTCATAGTTTTGATGTCTTCACTATTATTCTACAATGTAGAAATAGTAAAAATGAAGAAAAAGCCTTGAATGAGTAGGTGTTCTAAAACTTTTGACCAGTAGTGTATATGTCTTGCTCACTTTGAGGGAGAGGTTGTTGTCCTGGCACCACACTGCCAGGTCTCTGACCTCCTTCCTATAGGCTGTCTCATCGTTGTCAAATCAAAATATATTTTATATTTCACATTCTTCAAATAGCCACCCTTTGCCTTGATGATGTGGTCCTCTGTAGCTCAATTGGTAGAGCATGGCGCTTGTAACGCCAGGGTAGTGGGTTCGATCCCCGGGACCACCCATACGTAAAAATGTATGCTCACATGACTGTAAGTCGCTTTGGATAAAAGCGTCTGCTAAATTGCATATTATTATTATATTATTATATTATGACAGCTTTGCAAAATCTGAAATATCACATTTACAAAGGTATTCAGACCCTTTACTCAGTACTTTGTTGAAGCACCTTTGGCATTGATTAGCATCAAGTCTTCTTGGGTATGACGCTACAAGCTTGGCACACCTGTATTTGGGGAGTTTCTCCCATTCTTCTCTGCAGATCCTCTCAAGCTCTGTCAGGTTGCTGCACAGCTATTTTCAGGTCTCTCCAGAGATGTTCGATCGGGTTCAAGTCTGGGCTCTGGCTGGACCACTCAAGGACATTCAGAGACTTGTCCTGAAGCCACTCCTGCGTTGTCTTGGCTGTGTGCTTAGGGTCGTCTTCCTGTTGGAAGGTGAACCTTCGCCCCAGTCTGAGGTCCTGAGCGCTCTGGAGCAGGTTTCCATCAAGGATCTCTCTGTACTTTGCTCCGTTCATCTTTGTCTCGATCCTAACTATTCTCCCAGTCCCTGCTGCTGAAAAACCTCCCTACAGCATGATGCTGCCACCACCATGCTTCACCGTAGGGATGGTGCCAGGTTTCCTCCAGACGTGACACTTGTCATTCAGGTCAAAGAGTTCAATCTTGGTTTCATCAGACCAGAGTATCATTAGGTGCCTTTTGGCAAACTCCAAGCGGGCTGTCATGTGTCTTTTACTGAGAAGTGGCTTCCATCTGGCCTCTCTACCGTAAAGGCCTGATTGGTGGAATGCTGCAGAGATGGTTGTCCTTCTGGAAGGTTCTCCCATCTCCACAGAGGAACTCTGGAGCTCTGTCAGAGTGACCATCGGGTTCTTGGTCACCTCCCTGACCAAGGCCCCTCTCCCCCGATTGCTCAGTTTGGCCGGGCGGCCAGCTCTAGGAAGAATCTTGGATGTTCCAAATTTCTTCCATTTAAGAATGATGGAGGCCACTGTGCTCTTGGGGATCTTCAATGCTGCAGAAATTTTTTGGTACCCTTCCCCAGATCTGTGCCTCAACACAATCCTGTCTCAGAGCTCTACGGACAATTACTTCGGCCTCATGGCTTGATTTTTGCTCTGACTTGCACTGTCAACTGTGGGAAGTTATATAAACAGGTGTGTGCCTTTCCAAATCATGTCCAATCAATTGAATTTACACAGGTGGACTCCAATCAAGTTGTAGAAACATCTCAAGGATGCACCTGCGCTCAATTTCGAGTCTCATAGCAAAGGGTTTGAATACTTGTAAATAAGGTATTTCTGTTTTTTATTTGTTATAAATTTGCAAACATTTCTACAAACCTGTTTTCACTTCGTCATTATTGGGTATTGTGTGTAGATTGCTGAGATTTTTAAAATATTTAATCCATTTTAGAATAAGGCTGTAACGTAACAAAATGTGGGAAAAGACAAGGGGTCTGAATACTTTTTTTATTCAGTCGGATAAACACTCCAAACAGCCTACCCGACCGCTCGGAGGCGTCCGGATGGTCTTAAAGCACACCCTTGCCTCGTTTTCTATCACATTCCAATGATCAAACTGAGGGGGACAAAAATGCAATTTCAGATTGTGGGGGGGACATGTCCCCCGTCCCCAGTGAAAGTTACACCCCTGCATACGCTACAGAAACAAGCAGATGCATGTCTGATGATCTCCAAAGAATTGTCCCAAAACTATCTCAATAACCTAACACAACACAGCCAGTTTTCCACATGGTTTGAAAGTTAACCTTTTTATGCAATTTAGCCATAACATGAATGTCCTCCAATGTGTCCCTTGCGCCATCCATCAGGACATACAGAAATCATTGCAGAGGAAACACCAATCTCAGGGAGTGTGTAGGAACCACTGGGAGACTGTGAGGGGGTTAGTCCAGCTTGGGAAGGGTAAAGCCCAAACATCTCTTATCATTCCTTTTCTAATGGATTGGCTCTCTCCGCCTCAGATATCTTTAAAGCCAGGCAATTCCATCTTCCTTGTCTTGATATCTCTAATCTTGATATCCTTGGTATCACTAATATGTGTTTACTTCACTTATAGGCAAACCCTTGAGAGGATTTGAGCCAGTCTACCCGGAAAACCTTTGCATCGACCTGAAGACATTTTGCAATGCCTTTCCCTTCTATATAGTGTTCGATGAGGAGGTACAAAAATAATATCTCCCAGATTCCCTATTGGTATTGAGTACATACACTGTAAAAATATAAAAAAATTAATGCATTGACTGGTTACAAGTACATTTGTTAGGTTTTCTCAATTGAAAAAAAAAATTGCCAAATATATCACTCAATGTTATATTGTATTATGAACAAACCCTTATTTCAAGTTGTAACTAATTTATATCAACACTTAACTTACTTTTCCCCTTTGGTTAAACCTAATAAATAACATAAATACAAACTAATATATATAGGCAACTACAACCCATTTTTTCATGTTGTATCAAGTTGATTTTTCACTTTGGAGTTACCTATCTGTCACGCCCTGGCTCTGGAGACTCTTAAATGTTGAGCCAGGGTGTGGACTTGTTATGTTTAGTTTTCATTGGGTCTGTTCTAGATCGTTCATATCTATGTTGGCCAGGGTGGTTCCCAATCAGAGACAGCTGTAGCTCGTTGTCTCTGATTGGGAACCATACTTAGGCAGCCTTTTGGCACTTTAGTATTGTGGGATCTTGTTCTGTATAGGTTTGTGTTGGTGAACCTTTAGACTTCACGTATCGTTTTGTTGTTGGTGTCAAGTACTCATTAAAAGATGTACGCCTATCACGCTGCGCCTTGGTCTGCCTCTTACAACGATCGTGACAGAAGATCCCACCAAGATAGGACCAAGCAGCGTGTGCAGGAGCAAACGCCGGGTATGGAACAGGAGGTTACTCTGGTAGATGTCCTCCTCGGTTGGGGGAGAATCACAGAGGAGGAGGCCATCCGCTACCGGAGGGCGATGAGGGAGGATGCCCAGGCAGGAGAGGAGAAGCGGCGCCAACCGGGTCGTCGTCGGACAGGCGAGAGGCAACCCCAATAAATGTTTTTGGGGGGGCACACGGCATGGACGACGGGGCTGCTGGAGGCAGCTACAGGGCGAGTTTGCGGACTAGGAGAGGAGGCCACCAGGTTATGGGGGCCATTGGTCATGAGGGGGAAGGAGAGTGTAGAGGCACGGCGAGAGGTACTGGGGTGTGTTACCAGTCCGGTCCGGCCCATTCCTGATCCCCGCACAAGGCCAGTGGTGTGTGTTCCCAGTACGGTTCGGCCTGTTCCTGTCCCTCGCACCAAGCCTGTGGTGCGCGTCGCCAGCCCGGTCCGGCCTGTTCCTGCTCCCCGCACCAAGCCTGTGGTGCGCGTCGCCAGCCCGGTCTGGCATGTTCCTGCTCCCCGCACCAAGCCTGTGGTGCGCGTCGCCAGCCCGGTCCGGCCTGTTCCTGCCCCTCGCACCAAGCCTGTGGTGCGCGTCGCCAGCCCGGTCCGGCCTGTTCCTGCTCCCCGCACCAAGCCTGTGGTGCGCGTCGCCAGCCCGGTCCGGCCTGTTCCTGCTCCCCGCACCAAGCCAGTGGTACGCGTCGTCAGCCCGGTCCGGCCCGTTCCTGCTCCCCGCACCAAGCCAGTGGTGCGCGTCGTGAGTCCGGCACGGCCCGTGCCTGTTCCACCGGTGCCTGGTCCGGCACCGGTCAGCTGCTCAACTCCGGAGCAAGAGCAATCCGCTCCACCGGGGTCCAGTCCAGCTCCGGCCAGCGGGGCCAGACCAGACCAGGGGCGCTACGGGGGGGTAGCGAGAGAGTGGTGGTCACGCCTCCGAGGCGGAATGCCCACCCGGCCCCTCCCCTGTTGTGTTTGGAATGGCGCGGTCGCAGTCCGCGCCTTTGGGGGGGGGGGGGGGGGGGGGGGGGGGTACTGTCACGCCCTGGCTTTGGGGACTCTTAAATGTTGAGCCAGGGTGTGGACTTGTTATGTTTAGTTTTCATTGGGTCTGTTCTAGATCGTTCATATCTATGTTGGCCAGGGTGGTTCCCAATCAGAGACAGCTGTAGCTCGTTGTCTCTGATTGGGGACCATACTTAGGCAGCCTTTTGGCACTTTAGTATTGTGGGATCTTGTTCTGTATAGGTTTGTGTTGGTGAACCTTTAGACTTCACGTATCGTTTTGTTGTTTTGTTGTTGGTGTCAAGTACTCATTAAAAGATGTACGCCTATCACGCTGCGCCTTGGTCTGCCTCTTACAACGATCGTGACACTATCAAAATGTCTTAAATTGGGTTACAAGCAATTACTGTAAATCAGTTTCCAGTTAATCAAGATATTAAGTTGGTTCCATAACATGAAATCATGTCTCCAAACATTTTCTTTACATAAGAATTGTACATTAACTGGTTACCAATATTGTAACCAAATGGTGACCATCTCATCAATTGAAACCTTTTTTTATTTATTTTATTTTTATTTCACCTTTATTTAACCATGTAAGCCAGTTGAGAACAAGTTCTCATTTACAACTGTGACCTGGCCAAGATAAAGCAAAGCAGTGCGATAAAAACAACAACAACACAGAGTTACATATGGGATAAACAAAACGTACAGTCAAAAACACAATAGAAAATCTATATACAGTGTGTGCAAATGTAGTAAGTTATGGAGGTAAGGCAATAAACAGGCCATAGTGCAAAATAATTACAATTTAGTATTAACACTGGAGTGATAGATGTGCAGAAGATGATGTGCAAATAGAGATACTGGGGTGCAAATGAGCAAAATAAATAACAATATGGGGATGAGGTAGTTGGGTGGGCTAATTACAGATGGGCTGTGTACAGGTGCAGTGATCGGTAAGCTGCTCTGACAACTGATGCTTAAAGTTAGTGAGGGAGATAAGAGTCTCCAGCTTCAGAGATTTTTGCAGTTCGTTCCAGTCGTTGTCAGCAGAGAACTGGAAGGAATGGCGGCCAAAGGAGGTGTTGGCTTTGGGGATGACCAGTGAGATATACCTGCTGGAGTGCATACTATGGGTGGGTGTTGCTATGGTGACCAATGAGCTAAGATAAGGCGGGGATTTGCCTAGCAGTGATTTATAGATGACCTGGAGCCAGTGGGTTTGGCGACGAATATGTAGTGAGGGCCAGCCAACGAGAGCGTACAGGTCACAATGGTGGGTAGTATATGGGGCTTTGGTGACAAAACGGATGGCACTGTGATAGACTACATCCAATTTGCTGAGTAGAGTGTTGGAGGCTATTTTGTAAATGACATCGCCGAAGTCAAGGATCGGTAGGATAGTCAGTTTTACGAGGGCATGTTTGGCAGCATGAGTGAAGGAGGCTTTGTTGCGAAATAGGAAGCCGATTCTAGATTAAACTTTGGATTGGAGATGCTTAATGTGAGTCTGGAAGGAGAGTTTACGGTCTAACCAGACACCTAGGTATTTGTAGTTGTCCACATATTCTAAGTCAGACCCGCAGAGAGTAGTGATTCTTGTCAGGCGGGCGGGTGCAAGCAGCGTTCGATTGAAGAGCATGCATTTAGTTTGACTAGCGTTTAAGAGCAGTTGGAGGCTACGGAAGGAGTGTTGTATGGCATTGAAGCTCGTTTGGAGGTTTGTTAACACAGTGTCCAATGAAGGGCCAGATTTATACAAAATGGTGTCGTCTGCGTAGAGGTGGATCTGTTTGTTAACTTGGCTTTCAAATACTTTTGAAAGGCAGGGCAGGATGGATATAGGTCTGTAACAGTTTGAATCTAGAGTGTCACCCCCTTTGAAGAGGGGGATGACCGCGGCAGCTTTCCAATCTCTGGGGATCTCAGATGATACGAAAGAGAGGTTGAACAGGCTAGTAATAGGGGTTGCGACAATTTTGGCGGCTAATTTTAGAAAGAAAGGGTCCAGATTGTCAAGCCCAGCTGATTTGTAGGGGTCCAGATTTTGCAGCTCTTTCAGAACATCAGCTGTCTGAATTTGGGTGAAGGAGAAGCGGGGGTGGGGGGGGGGGGGGGCATGGGCAAGTTGCAGCGGAGGGTGCAGAGCTGGTGGCCGGGGTAGGGGTAGCCAGGTGGAAAGCATGGCCAGCCGTAGCAAAATGTTTGTTGAAATTCTCAATTATCGTAGATTTATCGGTGGTGACAGTGTTTCCTAGCCTCAGTGTAGTGGGCAGCTGGGAGGAGGTGCTCTTATCCTCCATGGACTTTACAGTGTCCCAAAACTTTTTGGAGTTAGTGCTACAGGATTTCTGTTTGAAAAAGCTAGCCTTTGCTTTTCCTAACTGATTGTGTATCTTGGTTCCTGACTTCCCTGAAAAGTTGCATATCGCGGGGGCTGTTTGGTGCTAATGCAGTACGCCACAGGCTGTCCAGGCTCTTTAGAATCACAGTACTTAAATTTTTCTACTTCATATTCATCATCTCCAGCACCACCCCAACATATGTGAAAATGGCACGTTTCTATGTTTTGTAGTAAAAAAAGATAAAGGAAGATAAGTGTTTCCAATGACATCATCGGTGTGTATGATGTGATTTTAACCAATCATGAGTAGGCATTAATTGCCTACTTATTGTCTACTAATTTGTTGATGTCATTGGAAACACTTACCTTACTCTATCTTTTTTACTATAAAACATAGAAATGCGATGTTTCCACATATGTTGGGGTGGTGCTGGAGATGATGAATATGAAGTTGAAAAATGTACGATTCAGTGCTGGCAGTGACCATATAAACATTAAGAAAACAGAACACATTACCTGGAATTACATTCACTCTCACGGGTGGCCAAAAATAACAAACTGAAAGCCACGCCCCCAGTAGGCTATGCCTCCAACTCTTCTGATAGGCTGTCGCCACTATATTGCACCCACCACTATGCAATGCAAATGCGCATGTGGTGTTGAAAGCAATTTAGAAGCTTTCCTTGAATTAAAAAAATCACATTGATCTGTCAAATTCTTTATTTGATTTCATACAAATTGAATAGAATAGGTTGAACGAACCAAAGCGTAATTTTGGATCATACCAATCAGAAAAAGCACTTCAGATGAACAACAGCACCGTCCCACTTTTTACAGTGTGGTTTAGTAATGCCAGATAAGCACTGGGATGGTTTCCCGGACACAGATTAGGTCTAGTCATGGACTAAAAAGCATTCTCAATGGAGAATCTCAATTAGAAGTGCTTCTTAGTTCAGGACTAGGCTTAATCTGTGTCCGGACACTGGCCCTTTGTGTAGATATGGTGAATTGTAATCTTAATACATGGAGTGAGGCTGCTGAAGTGCACTACTTTTGACCAGAGCCCTATTGACCCTCGTTAAAAGTAGTGCACTATATAGGGAACAGGGTGCCATTTGGGACACAACCTGAATCTCTGCTCTCTGGTCCAACCCCTGCAGCTGATGGTGAGACAGGCGGGGGTGAACGTCCAGAAGATCCTCCCCGGGCTGCAGATCCATGAGCATTCACCTGGACCAGTACCTTAGTATCGTCCACCCCGAGGTCACCTTCACCATCTCCAGCATCAGGAAGTTCATCAACAGCCACTTTGTCCTGCATACGCGACGGGACATGATGCCCGAGGCCTGGAGGGACAGACCCATGCTGGAGCTCAGAGGTGGAATGAATGAATGAACATATTAATTAATGAATGAACAGATGAAGGAATGAAAGAATGGATGGATGGATTAACGGATGACTGAATGGATGAATAAAGGAAGAAAGTCAGGAAGTAAGTAAGGAATGAGGAAGTAAAGGAAGGAAGAAATAAATGAATGGTTAATTATTATTGTGTCATGCCACTTATGCTACCTATCACCATAAACATTTGACAGAAACACACACATCCCCCCTCCCCTCCATTTAATTTCCCCCATTCACTCTCCTTATTTCCACCCCTTACTCCCCTGTTCCCAGGTCAGATGTTGTGGATAGAATCTCTGCAGTGCATGCTGTACCAGGCCTCCCCTTTGCTGTGGAGCCTCCACGAACTGGAGGAGCAGAGCATGCACATCTCTAACGTTGCCCCTCAGGACGTCACGCGGGACCTCATCCTGCTCAACCAGCAGCGGCTGGCCCAGATGGAGCTCTCCAACCAGCTGGAGAGGAAGAAGGAGGAGCTCCGACACCTGTCCCAGCATCTGGAGGAGGAGAGGACCAAGACGGAGAACCTGCTGTAAGCCATGCTGCCCAAACACATGGCCAACCAGCTGAAGGAGGGGAAGAGAGTGGAAGCAGGTGAATGACACATGGAGAGGAGATGTGAGGAGAATAGAAGAGAGGAAAGGTGCGGAGAGGCGAGTTGAGGAGAGAAGAGGAAAGGAGAGGGAAGGAGTGGAGAGAGGAAAGGAGAGAAGATGAGAGGAAAAAAGAGGAGTGGAAAGGAAATAATTGGTGAGAGGATTGGTGAAGTATGTGAAATGCCCTAGTAGTATACAGTAGCCTATGCCTCCCTTGCTCTGACACACAACAGACAGTAAAAGATGTACAGAGTGGAATTGGGGGGAATTTTTAAGGATATTTCCCTGCCCTGCTGCAGTGTATTACATATTTAATGGCATGAGCTCCAGATTGAGACAGCCCCACAACACAGCCAGCAGCTGGTGGCTCCCAGACACATCTCTCTTTGAAGCACAGAACACAGAAAGACAGAGAGACACAGACAGACGGACATGCATGCACAAGGCACACACACAACTCTCGTGCATAAACAGCACATGCACGCGCGTGCACACACAAAATGAATTGAGATGAATCGACAGGCCAGCTACATGTGAATAAGGATTAAGCAGAATAACTTGTTTTCACTATTGTTCTCAACATTGCAAAAGGACAGTGGTATATTTATGGAAATGGCCATATGGTCGGTGGTGGCTGTGGTTATGTTTGCTCTAAAGGAGAGTTCAAGGAGTGCACCATCCTCTTCAGTGACGTGGTCACCTTCACCAACATCTGCTCGGAGTGTGAGCACATCCAGATCGTCAACATGCTCAACTCCATGTACCTCAAGTTCAACCGGCTCACCACAGTACACACAGTTTACAAGGTAACACAATATTACATTTGTCAGATACGCTAAACACAATGATTTATCATTCATAATTTAAACATCTAATGAATGATTCTACATATCCATCTATTCATTCATCTTGACCAGGCAGCCTGGAATAGCCATTTCAGTATTTATCTGACCAATATCAATCTGCCTGTGTGCATCAGATGGAGACCACAGGCCTACATGTTGGTAGGTGGCGTGCCCATCCCAGTGTCCAGCCATTCTGAGAGGGTGGCCAACTTTGCCCTGGACTTGATCATAGGAGCTAGGGAGGTCATCAACCCCATCACAGTAGGGCCTATCAAGGTGAGACCCACAGATGGCTGGTGTGTTTGAATGCTGGATTGATTCTTCCCTATATATTTCTGTAACAGCATTGTTCCATTGATCCAAATCCAAAGGGTTGTATTTCCCTGCCCTTGTCTTTCTTTTTGAGCTGATCTTTCACAGTTCTCCTGCTAGTTTATTATCACAATACAATACCTCTCTCTGTGTCTGAGGTTGGTCTAGTGGGTAACACAGCCGCCAGCAGCACATAAATGTCACCCCCCAGCGTGGATACGAATCCTTCCACTACTCAATGCTCATTTCCACCGATTTCTGTCTCAATAAAGTAAAAATATCCCACAAAATACATTTAAAAAACAACCAATATCTGTAGATCTGGGTGGGGGAGAAGATGCCTCGATACTGCCTGTTCGGAGACAGTAAACACAGCGTCTCGCATGGCGAGCCACGGCCTCCCCAACAAGATCCACCTCAGCTCTAGTGTTTACCTGTAAGACCTCAGCTCATGTCACTGAACTGCAGGAAATTAAATCAATCAAGCAATCGATCAAGAAAGCAAGCAATTTTATTTATAAAGCCCGTTTTACATCAACTGTTGTCACAAAGTGCTTTACAGTAGATTGATGATTGGTTAGTTGGTTAGTTGCTTGGTTGGTTGATGGATTCATTTATTAATTAAGTGCTTGGTTGGTTGAGCCCATAGTGCTCTGGTCGAAAGTAGTGCACAATATAAGGAAAAGGGTGCCATTTGGGATGCAGGCTTTGTGTTCAAATGTCTTCCTCCCCCAGGGTTATGAAAGACAAGGGCTCTCTTTAAAAATACACACCTTTATAAATATACAGTACACCTGAGGAAATGTCTTAGACGTGTGTCTCACCTTGTTGCACCTTATTTGTGTGTCTAATTCTTTGAGGTAGCTCAGCCTCAAATGCATTATCTCAACAGGTTTTCTGTTCCCCGATATTTATGGCGCATTTAGCCATAATCAACACAGAGACAAACACTAACCTCATTCTAGCTTCCCTCACTTGGCTGTGGTAGATTCGTAATGCCTCACTCTAATGCTAGACCTCTTTGTTGTAATCTAATCCCATCCAGAGGGTGCAGAGTGAGGACAGGCTCACTGATCCCCAGCCACAACCCAGAGCCAAGAGCCTCACAGGTGCCTCCTCCTCTTCCTCTTTTGTTTCTTTGATCATATTTTTTTTCTCCATGATATTCTTGAACATTTACATTTTAATTAAGTCTTATATTCTTCATCTCTTATATTCTTCATCTTATTCTAAGATGATCTTTAAGTCACAGGTAAAAGACTGCTCCTCCATTTATTTTACATTTCTCCTATTCGTTACCTCCATTAACTCCCACTCAGCCTGCAGTGGTGACTCTCGGGAGGTGTGTGTGTTTCCCAGGTAAACCTCGGAGCTACGGCAGTCTCCACAGTGACAACAAGTCAGAGGAGGGAGGTCTCCCCAACCCAGACCAACAGCTGACCAGAGCAACCTTGTACCTGAGTCCCACTCCCATAGAGGCTGAGGCTCCTATGGAACAAACACATCCGGACCAGTTTCTGTGTGGTCCTCTGAACTGTTGAAATACTATCCAGACCAGTCACTGTAGCCCCGTTTATACCTGGTGCTAACACACACGTCCTTTATCCTGATCTTGTCCTCATTCTGATTGTGCCCACATTTTAGCTGTTGCATCTACACATGATAAAATACACATATTCAAATGTGTCTCTTATCCGTCTACCAGATTTCCTGGTCCCTTCTGGTATGCAAATTATTTGACAGATTATTTCAAAATAATATTTTCTTGTTCATTTTAAGACACATATTGATAAGTCAATGGTGCCACCTGTCAATGATTTTTAGAGGGAGGGATAGTGATGATTTAATACGTTTTACTGTCCAGATCCGTCTACACTTGTAAGATATCCAGACACAATGCATCCCTGACTACCTCTGGAGGTGGTCAGGAATATCAGATCACAATCAGATCACAATACGTCTTCTAATTGTCTACAGCTGTCTAAAAAGGTGGGCACAATTCAAATGTGGAGAAGATCAGGCAAAGGACGCATGTTAGCACCAGGTATAAACTGAGCTTAAGTGACCCATTCAATTGGACCACAACTGCTGGAATATAGGAAATTAAATGAAATTGGTCTCTCTCTGCTGATGAGCCTATACTCTGTGAGCCTACAGTGTTTTATGAACATAGAAATGATCTATGGTCATCTTGATAATGTTTGCGTTTTATGTGATCTCTCCCACGGAGCACTGCCATCTACAGTTGAAGTCGGACGTTTACATACACCTTAGCCAAATACATTTAAACTCAGTTTTTCACAATTCCTGACATTTAATCCTAGTACAAATTCCCTGTCTTAGGTCAGTTAGGATCACCACTTTATTTTAAGAATGTGAAATGTAAGAATAATAGTAGAGAGAATTATTTCTTTCAGCTTTTATTTCTTTCATCACATTCCCAGTGGGTCAGAAGTTTACATACACTCAATTAGTATTTGGTAGCATTGCCTTTAAATTGTTTAACTTGGGTCAAACATTTCGGATAGCCTTCCACAAGCTTCCCACAATAAGTTGGGTGAATTTTGGCCCATTCCTCCTGACAGAGCTGGTGTAACTGAGTCAGGTTTGTAGGCCTCCTTGCTCGTGCACGCTTTTTCAGTTCAGCCCACACATTTTCTATAATTTTGAGGTCAGGGCTTTGTGATGGCCACTCCAATACCTTGACTTTGTTGTCCTTAAGCCATTTTGCCACAACTTTGGAAGTATGCTTTGGGTCATTGTGACCAAGTTTTAATTTCCTGACTGATGTCTTGAGATGTTGCTTCAATATAGCCACAATTTTCCTTCCTCATAATGCCATCTATTTTGTGAAGTGCACCAGTCCCTCCTGCAGCAAAGCACCCCCACAGCATGACGCTGCCACCCCCGTGCTTCACGGTTGGGATGGTGTTCTTCGGCTTGCAAGCATCCACCTTTTTCCTCCAAACATAACGATGGTCAATATGGCCAAACAGTTCTATCTTTGTTTCATCAGACCAGAGGACATTTCTCCAAAAAGTACGATCTTTGTCCCCATGTGCAGTTGCAAACCGTAGTCTGGCTTTTTTATGGCGGTTTTGGAGCAGTGGCTTCTTTCTTGCTGAGCGGCCTTTCAGGTTATGTCGATATAGGACTAGTTTTACTGTGGATATAGATACTTTTGTACCTGTTTCCTCCAGCATATTCACAAGGTCCTTTGCTGTTGTTCTGGGATTGATTTGCACTTTTTGCACCAAATTTCTAGGAGACAGAACGCGTCTCCTTCCTGAGCGGTATGACGGCTGCGTGGTCCCATGGTGTTTATACTTGCGTACTATTGTTTGTACAGATGAACGTGGTGCCTTCAGGCGTTTGGGAATTGCTCCCAAGGATGAACCAGACTTGTGGAGGTCCCCAAAAAAAAATCTGAGGTCTTGGCTGATTTCTTTAGATTTTCCCATGATGTCAAGCAAAGAGGCACTGAGTTTGAAGGTAGGCCTTGAAATACATCCACAGGTACACCTCCAATTGACTCAAATGATGTCAATTAGCCTATCAGAAGGTTCTAAAGCCATGACATCATTTTCTGGAATTTTCCAAGCTGTTTAAAGGCACAGTCAACTTAGTGTATGTAAACTTCTGACCCACTGGAATTGTGATACAGTGAATTATAAGTGAAATAATCTGTCTGTAAACAACTGTTGTAAAAATTACTTGTGTCATGCACAAAGTAGATGTCCTAACCGACTTGCCAACACTATAGTTTGTTAACAAGATATTTGTGGAGTGGTTGAAAAACAAGTTTTAATGACTCCAACCTAAGTGTATGTAAACTTCCGACTTCAACTGTATGTGATATATAGAAGTCAACTGTAACCAGACTGGTACCTCTGGTCCAGGGCATTAGAGCACGTAGGTAACTCGTTGTCATTGTGCGATATGGTCAGAGCTACCAGACTGCAGGGTGAACGTACAGTGCCGTCGGAAAGTATTCAGACCCCTTGACCTTTTCCACATTTTGTTACGTTACAGCCTTATTCTAAAATTGATTAAATCGTTTTTTCCCCTCATCAATCTACACACAATACCTCATAATGACAAAGGAAAAACATATTTTTATAAATTCTTGCTAATTTATAAAAATAAACTGAAATATCACATTTACATAAGTATTCAGATCCTTTACTCAGTATTTTGTTGAAGCACCTTTGGCATTGATTACAGCATCAAATATTCTTGGGTATGATGCTACACGCTTGGCACACCTGTATTTGGGGAGTTTCTCCCATTCTTCTCTGCAGATCCTCTCAAGCTCTGTCAGGTTGGATGGGGAGCGTTGCTGCACAGCTATTTTCAGGTCTCTCCAGAGATGTTTGATCGGTTCAAGTCCGGGCTCTGGCTGGGTCACTCAAGGACATTCAGAGACTTCTCCCGAAGCCACTCCTGTGTTGTCTTGGCTGTGTGCTTAGGGTCGTTGTCCTGTTGGAAGGTGAACCTTCGCCCCAGTCTGAGGTCCTGAGCGCTCTGGAGCAGGTTTTCATCAAGGATCGCACTGTACTTTGCTCCGTTCATCTTTGCCTCGATCCTAACTAGTCTCCCAGTCCCTGCCGCTGAAAAACATCCCCACAGCATGATGCTGCCACTACCATGCTTCACCTTAGGGATGGTGCCAGGTTTCCTCCAGACGTGACGCTTGGCATTCAGGCAAAAGAGTTCAATCTTGGTTACATCAGACCAGAGAATCTTGTTTCTCGTGGTCTGAGAGTCTTTAGGTGCCTTTTGGCAAACTCCAAGCGGGCTGTCATGTGTCTTTTACTGAGAAGTGGCTTCCTTCTGACCACTCTACAATAAAGGCCTGATTGTTGGAGTGCTGCAGAGATGGTTGTCCTTCTGGAAGGTTCTCCCATCTCCACGGAGGAACTCTGGAGCTCTGTCAGAGTGACCATCGGGTTCTTGGTCACATCCCTGACCAAGACCCTTCTCCCCCGATTGCTCAGTTTGGCCGGGTGGACAGCTCTAGGAAGAGTCTTGGTGGTTCCAAATTTCTTCCATTTAAGAATGATGGAGGCCACTGTGTTCTTGGGGACCTTCAATGCTACATAACTTTTTGGTACCCTTCCCCAGATCTGTGCCTCTACAAAATCCTGTCTCTGAGCTCTACGGACAATTCCTTTGACCTCATGGCTTGTTTTTTGCTCTGACATGCACTGTCAACAGTGGGACCTTATATAGACAGGTGTGTGCCTTTCCAAATAATGTCCAATCAATTGCATTTACCACAGGTGGACTCCAATCAAGTTGTAGAAACATCTCAAGGATAATCAATGGAAACAGGATGCACCTGAGCTCAATTTTGAGTCTCATAGCAAAGGGTCTGAATACTTATGTAAATAAGGTATTTCTGTTTTTAAATTTTAATAAATATGA